GGCAATGTTATCCCATTTGGCACGATTTCCAACCCTTCAACCCAAGGACAAATAACCCCAGTAGGGGGCAATATTAACATCACAAGCCCAGTCATGAGTTTTCTTATAGCTTTAAATACACCAGAAGTTCAGCATTTGTAAACGAATGGTATGTTGATTCTAGAACACTAGAGGAAAAAGCACGTAAACAGAAGAAATGTATCACCACATACCATTCTGTGTTCTTAATCCACCCTGCAGAGCACAGACAAGTTCTGAGCGTCAAAAATAACTCCTCAGAAAAGGCATCTGAGGCAGGGTGCATTAAGAAGGTTACACTGTACAAATCTTTTCAACTCTGTGAAAGTATTTGATTTTAAGATGAACTTTTCAACGTAACAGATTCAAACACATCAAGGTAAACAACTTCACAGAACTATTTAAGTCAGTCAAGTAAAATAATCACACAAATGTTAAGTTTCAGTGCTCAATTAAGAGAAATCATGAATTTCAAAAGTATTAGCTAACGAACACAAGAGGCACACTTCAGATACTAAGCACATTTAACAGTCTTTGAAGATTAAATAATTTAACCACAGCAAAGTTAAAATGTACACTTTGGAACTGCTAATTCAGAATACAGTAAAGCTTTCAGAACTCATAGCAGTATTTTGAATACTTTAAAAGAAAGACAACAGGTTGAGTCATCTAAAGGCTGCTAATAACACAGTCTAGCCACGCGTAGCATTTACAGTTAGACAGTAGGTAGTTACTACTGCAAAAACTGACACTTTTGATCATAAACAGGAGAACAGATTTCATTCTTAGTATTTACAACAGCATCCCATCGCTAAGAAAATAAGAATATACACAACAGCTGCAAGAAAGTGAAAATTAGAGTCAGCAAGGCATTCTCTCTCCATCAGAAACGACTAAGCTATTCAACACCAAGGGAAGCGGGACGGGCACGGGAAAAGCTCTACTTCAGCACAGTTCAGCTGGATGGCTTTGCTGTTGTTTGTTTTTACCTGGGGTATTTTTCAGTAGGAAATCCATATTTTTTTTCTAAGAAATCAGTGGCAAAATGCACTGCCCTCCTCTACCTTCACAGAGGAAGCCAGAACCAGCACATGAACTAGCTAAGGCGGAGAGGAAATCTCTTTCCACTTGAATCGTTCATCTGTGCTTCAGAAAAACATTTCCTACTATCCCTCCTTGGAACACCACACCTATGGATCAGGACAGCTTCTGCAAGATACCTGAGTTATTTAGCAAATAAATACTTAAGAAATTATCTCATGAATCCAGATTATTAATTGGCAACTGCTTATTTGCTCTTAATGCAGATCAGCATGCTGCTGGAGGTATTACTGGGCAGCCAGGAGTGCATTTTTGTTTTGGGGGGTGTTTCTTTTTTTGGTTGCTGGTTTTGTTAGTCGTTTGTTGTTGTTTCTCCTTTTAGCATTAACCATTACTGCTACAGCTAGTACTTTTACCCCACATACCTGAAAAAAACTGTACAATTTCTTCTTTACTACAGCCAAATGGGAGTCCTCTAAGACGTACAAAACCATCATTAGCCGTATCAGGGCTGTTGGGACCAGTATGCTTCAGAACCCAATCCATTTCAACGTTGTTTGACTTGAAAACTGTAAAAGGCACTTAGAATTAATGCATTGAGGAACGCTCAGCTCTTTTTAAAGCCATTTGCCTCGAAACTAGTCAACTTATGATACAACAGAAGTCCATTTGTCCTTCCACATGCACTTTAGAGACGGAACAGATTACCAAAACCCACCAAAAACAAATACATCTAGTCAGTTACTAGACCAAATCAAACCTTCAACATATCTGTGTCCCATTGTTTCTCGGTCTTTTTTCAGTGCCAATTTCACATCCTCTTCTGATTCAAGTTCAGCAAATGCTTCTCCACTTGGTCTGCCCTCCCTTGTGTAGATGAAACGAATACCCAAAGCTCCATTCAGAATTTTGCAGTCTGAAAAACAGAAACAAGAAGCCCCATTAATTTAGTTGTTAGAAGAATGCGGTAGCTTTATAAGCTTCAGACATTCCAAAAGGAAGCAAATAACTGAAATTGTGTAAGGTAACAGTGTTCCTGTTGAAATAGGGCATTTTTTTTTCTTTAATTGAGGGCCTAGCTAAAATCAACTTATTCTTCTGCTCAAGACTAAAGATTAACTTTACCTTTTTTTTAGAAAGATGTTGTGCTGCCTCAAGTCAAGTTAAATATGCCTTTGATCACAGCTGACAGACTTTCTAGTCAGCACAGATTGAGATAAGTAGTAACAATCAAATGGAGCATAATGAACAAAGTCAGGATCAGATCTAATGCATCAAATTCCTGAAATAGTCAGCTAGTTACAACAGTATCAAAAACTACTTTAATTAAGCTTGCAGTAAGGAATTTTCATTCAAATAGAAGATTCTCTACCCTGGCGGCTCAAAAAGAGCTATAAGTATTCCAGCAGCTCCCTTAGCTACATTTGATCAGTTCCTGCTTGAGAAGCATGGCTTTCTACACTGCATCCTGGCTGGGGCTCTTGCTTCACGAACATTGCTGGCTACTGAAGTACCCTGAACTTCCTTCACCCACCAGCTGCAGCGCACCTAGAGAAACCCCAAAGAATGCCAGCCCCCTAAAGCCTGACTTGTTTCACTTACCAGAGAAAAACCTCTGCACCTCCTCCGTGGAGCAGGACCAGGGCAGCCCCCTCACTTTCACCACGTATCCCTCGCTGCTCTCCGTGTTCAGCATCACATTGGAGGTCAGGTTTGGCTCCGCCTCGGTCTCAGTGGTGGCTGCACAAGACCAAAGCAGTCTTTTTGAGCCGCTGCAAAGCATGGCCACCACCCGCACCCCTCAGAGCGCCCGGCGGACCCCCGGCCCAGCCCTCCCCCTCAAGCCTCCTCTACCTCGGACCGCTGCCCGCCTCACACACACAGAGCCGCTCCCGCCCACCTGCCCGCGCCCAGCCCCCATCCCCGCACGCACACATGGTGGGGCTCCGCGGTGGTTCTAGGGCTCCGAGCCTGATCCGCTGTCCGGAGAGCGCCTAGTCCCAGTCAGGCGGCAGCAAGCGGGCGAGCCTGTGGCGAGAGCGCGCTAGGAAATGGCGGCGGGTACTCCCGCTTCCGCTGGGCCGGGCCTTCCGCCGCACAAAGAACCCCGACCCCACGCACCGCCCGGGCGGGCCCGACGTCCGGCAGCCCCCACCGACGCTTGCCGCACTCCTTCCCGGCTCAGAGCCCGGAGCTCGGCGGGAGCCCGACGTGTGGCCACCGGAACGGGCCGCGCCGCTCGCCGCAACCTCGGCGTGGCTGGGACGGCGCGCACGCGCCCCGCGCCGCCAATCGGGGAGCCTCTCGGCCCCCCCCCCCCGCCTGCGCATGCTCTGTAGCGCCGCCACGCTCGGCCGCCCCGGGACACAAACCCCCTACGCAGACGTTCCCCGCGCCGCTCCCGCCAAGTTGCGCATGCGTCCTCGCTAATCTACGCTCCCCCTCCCGCCTTCCTTCTCCCCCTCCCCCACGGTTTGTGCGCATGCGTTGCCTGCCTGCTGCGCTGAACAAAGCCAAGGCGCTCGCTCCCGCGCAGAGCGCGGGCCGGGCCTGCGCGCACGCGCCTCTGAGCGCCACTCTCCACACTGCGCATGCCCCGCGGGCCGCGGGCCCCCCCCCCCCCCCGGCCTCCCGCCGGGCCGCACCGCCGCCACCCGACCCCCTCCGACACGGCGTGTGGAGAGCTCTGACCGAGCGGGGGTGTGCGGGAACCGGCACTTACCAGCTTCAAAGGCTGACGCTACACCACGTGAAACAATCTGCTCGCTTCGGTCACTGAAGCCTGGTGTGTTTGTAGGAGATGGGGAAAGAAGAGACACGGGTCACAATTATCATAACGTAAAGGAAAATATCCATCCCTCCCATCTCCTCCAAACACACTGGCCCTAGCTAGTTCCGCCCTGCACCTCTCTGTCGGAGACAACAGAGTTACCGGCGCCAACAGCAGCCCCTCACACGGCACGTGCCGCGTCCAACCGCGCGCCCACAGAACCCAATCCGGTAGCCGCGCGGGGAGCGGGGCACGTACACCGATACGGAGCCGCCAGCACGGGGAACTTGCAAAGGGTGATGCAAATTAGAGCGGGAAATAAATGGGAGGGGCGGGCAGCGCAGAGCCCGCCCAGCGCTCGGCGGGAGCCTTAAAGCGGGCCGCAGCCGCAGCGCCGCTCCCGCCATGTCCACTCCCGCCAAAAGGAGTCGCCGCGGCCCCGCCGCCGAGCTGGACTCCAGCTTCCAGAAGCGCTTCAGGAAGATCTCCATCGAGGGCAATATCGGTGAGCGGGGCGGGGGGGATGTTTGTGTGGGAGCGCCTTTTCCCCATCCCAGCGGGTGAAGGAACAGCGGCGAGGGGGAATGGGTTAATGGCAAAGAGCCGGACTGCGCTGGAGGAGCCGTGCTGTGAAGCACCGGCGGGTGAGCCCCGCTGCATCCGTGCGCCGCTCGGAAGCGGCACCACCACCAGAGGCGGAGGCACTGCGTTCCACCATCCGCAGCCGCCGGCCGTCCAGGACAGATGCATTCCGTCCCTGTTATGTACCTCAGCGGTGCCGCCGGGCGCTATAACAACACGGCTTCTCTCGGCGCGGCCGCATCCACCTGGAAGCAGCTGCGAGCCTCCACCCGTTACCGCGCTCGGGAGTTCCCGCCCGCAAGCGGCGCTGCACACCAGCGCTCAGCCGCCGCCAGCTGGCCATTTAATCGCGCATGCGCGCGGCTTTCTCCCCCCCCCCCCCCCCCCAGCACCGCGCAGGCGCAGCCGCCCCGCTCTGCCCCGCCAGCCCGCCAACAACGCGGCACTGCCTGCTCCTAAAATGGCGGCGCGGGCGGCCCCACGAGGGCCCCGTTACCTCCTTATCGCCCGGACCCAGCCCCGGCGCTGCAGATTAGCGCCTTTTTCTCAGAACGTACCCGAGCCTGCGCCTGGCCCTGCTCCGAGCAGCTGCCAAGATGCGATGGCAGGGCCGTGCACACGCAGCTCTGCATGCCCAGCACTGCACAAACGCAGCCTGCGGTCTCAAGAAAGCTCACAGCTGCCACTATCCTATCCGCCACAACAGCCCAGTTCACACACTCTGCATTTTACGAATCTTTTGCAGCAGCCGGAAAGTCTACACTTGTCAGGCTGCTGGAGAAACACAGCGATGAGTGGGAGGTGATCCCCGAGCCCATCGCCAAGTGGTGCAACATCCAGACCAGCGAGGATGAGTGCGAGGTGGGTGTGCTGTGCCGGGGGGCCCAAGGAAAGGTGGGCATGGGAGGAAAACTGAAGTCATTCACCAAGGAAAACGTGCCAAAATTCACCTGTACTTAGTTTCTAGAGATGCTGTTTCCTCCCAAGACCATTCAGTCATTCCCACTGTGCTTTTCTTAAGAGACATTAAGGAAGGAATAAAAGCCTATGAAGCCCTATGAAAGTCTTCTCTCTTCTCCCCTAGGAACTTTCAACTTCTCAGAAAAGTGGAGGAAACCTACTTCAAATGCTGTACGATAAACCTACAAGATGGGCTTATACTTTTCAGACTTATGCCTGCTTGAGCCGAGTAAGGGCACAACTGAAACCCATTTCAGCCAAGCTGCATGAAGCAGAACATCCAGTGCAATTTTTTGAGAGATCTGTGTACAGTGACAGGTAATGATCCAATGCAACAAGAGCTCAGAGTAACAGCTTCAACACTTTAACTATTATCTGTAAGAAGCAGTTTTAACCAACAGGCACGAGCTCAATGATGTAGGGAGCATTGCAGATGTAGGTCTATGTCACTGATGTTCTCAGTACTGATTCTGATGGGAAGTACTTACAAAGTTCACTTATGTTATTCCTACCATGACACTAGTGTCTTTCATTGCAGGTATGTGTTTGCTTCTAACCTGTTTGAATCTGGAAACATCAATGAAACAGAGTGGGCTATCTATCAGGACTGGCACACATGGCTTTTAAATCAGTTTCAATCTGAAATAGAACTGGATGGGATGATCTACCTAAGGACCACACCTCAGGTATGCTGAAGTATATATGTATGACATACTGCAGTGACTTCACACACTAACACACTGAACCAGCATTTTCTTCTCCAAAAGTAACAGGAAGCCTTCAGTAAACTCAGATTTGCTTTAGAGACCAAATTAAACATATCCTTTCTGAAGCCTACAAACGCTGTTTTTGCTATTATCTCCTAGTCACTAAGCAGCCAAAGCTCATTTTAAAGCTGTACTTCAACAACAGCGTATGGGAAGGAAAGAATCTTTCAGTAAGAACTGTTGACTTTTGACTCACCCAAGCATTCAAATTAATGCTCACTGATGTCCAATGCTTTTGAAACCTTCGTAATTTTTCATGTTACACATTAATGGTTCTGATTTAATGACTACTTTAATACATTAACATTCAGGCTTGCAATTTTTCAGAAATGCATGGAAAGGCTACAGAAGAGGGGAAGAAAAGAGGAGGAAGGAATTGACCTCGAGTACTTGGAAAACCTCCACTATAAACATGAGACGTGGCTGTATGAAAGAAGTATGAGGTAGGAGCCTGTTTCCCCTGGACCACTACTGTGGGCAAAATTGCTTAAATAACCTGTTGCCATGAGGAACCAGACAACTACCAGCTAATTCTCATTTCAACTTATAAGCAAGTTTTTACTATCAATCAGAAAGTAGAAAAAAGCCTGAGATCCATCTCTAGTTTCACTCGGGCATGGTTGGAATGACTTAAGCATTAGCTTCAACTGAAAAGCTATTCTAGTTGTGATTTTTCTCCAGCAATTCCTTAAGCTTAGAACTGGAAGTACATAGAAATAGGGCGGTTGAAATTGGACTCAGTGGCTAATTCCTTACTAAGCAACTTCCAATGTAAGCGAAGGTAAAGTCCTGATTACCTTTAAACTTGGGTGACTGTGTCTCAGCAAGGTTTAAATACTAACCCTAGCTTCAAAACAAGCAATTATCAGAAAGGCTTCTGGCAGTCCCTTGTATGAAGGAAACATGCCAGTGACTAAGCTATCTCTGCACGTCTTTTTTCCCCCCCCAGACTCTTACTGAGTCATACTTATCAGCTTTCCCCACATAGGAATTAGCTGGACATAAATGCTAACTTCAGGTTTTCCCTATAAGAACCTGAAGTAGTGTACTGAATGCAAAACAAGAGGTTAAACATTTATTACTGACTGCAGCAGTAATAAATGACATCAGCATATTAAGTCCATTGCAACAACAGGAGGAAAAAAAAAAAAATCATAGAAGAGTTCAGGATATTCCTGGTAGGCAAGCGTGACTTTTCAGCTGAAATAAACAAAACTACTTCCAGATGGTGTACTAACAGATGCAAAACAATTCCAAGAAAAGTACGTTAAGCTGAACAGGCACATCTGCTTTTACTAAGTCTAGAATTCATGTAGGATGACCCAAGAGTTCAGGAGACAAGAATGTATTGCAGTGTTGTGGAATTATAACATTTACATTGTGTACTCATTCCAAACCCATGAGCAAACATTTCCTGTATTTTTAATACAAGTTAGAATGCTGTTCAGCCCCCTTTAAACACAGGTCTTAGAACCTGTTAGAGGTCATTCCCAAAAGGAAGCTTTAAAACTTCATCTTGGTAAATGGATTAGCAGCTAACTACAAAGGTGGTGGGGGCCACACAGGGCAAGAGGTACTTCAGAGGAAAACATTCACTCCCTCTTATAAAAATTGGATTCCTGATAGTTGGCTCCACAGCAAAAAGAATGAGGTAGAGAAGCATAAAGAACGTTTTTCCTCTTCCTACCAAGAGCCAGTCCTATGAAATGTACGTTACAGTGATGCAGTGCAGATGAGTGATTAAGGACAGGGCTTTATACCAAAGTCATCAACATCCCAGGTGTACGTCGTAATCTGAGATGCCTTGGAAAGCAATTAGAACACCGTGTGAGTAAAGCTTTATATAAAGTAATTTGTAAAGCTATGTTCATCTTTTAACAGAGTTGATTTTGAGAACCTTAAGGAGATTCCTATTCTTGTTTTGGATGTCAATGAAGATTTTAAAAATGATAAAATTAAACAGGAGTACCTGATTGATGAGGTAAATATTATATGTTTTCTCCTGCAGTAACAATTGGAAGTTATTGAATTTTATGATTTTTAATGTATTACCTTAAAAACTCAAAATACAGAATTATGTAGTAGTAATCTGGGGCTTCTACAATTGGCCCTCTTCATCACACAGATGAGGAAGATGCATTTAATTTTCCTCTACAAAACCATTTAATCCCTTACTTGAAGCAGTTCAAGGGAGAAATGACTATTTTTTAAAGGGGGGCAGTTGTGGAGGCCAGTCAGACTGACCGCTCCCTGCCAAGTCTGCACTGCCACACCATTCATTAAACAGTTGACACAGCGGTAGCATGCAATTCATGCCATCCATGATGCCTTTAGAAAACTCCTAGTCAGATCAGAGCTACTTGTGCTCCTTCAAATATCAAGGGTGTCCACGGACAGCACAACATATCTGAGAAACAAAGATGTGTGCAGGTCTGTGTGCACGATGTGACACTTCAAGTAGGAACACAGAAATCCAACAGCCATCAGAAGAAACACTGAGTTCACCAGACAAAATGGTGTTTGCTAGTTCTGAGGAAAGACAAGATCAGGGAATAAATGCCCTAAAGCACTCTGCTGTAGCTAACTACTGTGCACCCAGTCCACAGCAAAAGAAATCCTAGGAACTACTTTTCTGTCTTGTTCTGGTCACCAATGCTAAAGATGAATGTTTGAATCTAAATCTATGCTTGGGTGCATAATGTTCAGTCAACGTAACATGGTGGTGTTTGCTATGAATTTGCATCTTCCACTATGGAAAATACAGCAGAGCTTGGCTCGATTTTCAGACAATCCCCTTTTTCCTGAGGAAGAGCTACTTAGTGAAGGCATATCCATTTTTCTTTAATGGAACAATATACTGTAAAGCTACCTTCCCTATCTTTCTAATGAATTATTTAAGTTACTCAAGTCTACCTAGTACTAATTATAGTAAAAGGCATTTCAGATCACGAATTATATGTAGATGAGTTGTATGTAGAGGCAAAACAGCACTGGAGACCAGCATACAGAAGGAGTACAGTAACACCTCCTTTGTTCCTTCAGAAAAGGGAGAAACTTCTGGTGTTCTGCCATTTCTTTTTAAAACATGTTAAACATACGCTTTTGTTTCCACAGATCAAATCTTTCCTGACTTCTTAAGAAGAATTAAGACGTACATGAAATGCTTGGAACTCAAGAGTTAAACCAAACAGTCACGTGGTCTTCAACATTCTAGCTAAACTAGATGTACTGTCAGTATAACTTATAAACCTCAGAAAAGTAGTTTTGTTTGTTTGAACTGTGTTTTTTTTTAGACAGACTTTACTGTGTATTTTAAAGAAAAATACAGAGTGCCTTGATAATGTATTTCATTTTGTGTATATTCTCTACTCTTTAATAAACATTTTTAAAATAACACAGGCTGGTATCTGGCTCCAAGCACAGAGGAGTTAAGTGGTTATCAGCAACTGACAACCGGTAAATATAGATACCAGGCGCCGGGGAGGGTTGTTTTGCAATAATTGGCATAGTTCACCATTTTAAGATCAGACTGTTATGGCGTCCTGAGCCTTTCCTTTCAACTTCTGCTTCATTAAATGGCTGTTTTCAAGGGATTTACACTACTTAAGGTCAGGCATTACTGCAGCCAGAAGGATTACACCTGGAACAAACTCTCATTTAAGGGTGCCTCGTTTACGATCTCCCCCATCACCGGAATTCCCCTTCCCCCACTCCTCCCCCCCTTACCACAAGGCCAGCAGGGAGCGGGGGGGAGCCGTCGGCAGGACAACAAACGCGCAGCAACCCGCCCGCCCGCGGCACCGCTCTCTCCCCCCGGCGCCCCGGCCCCCCCCCCCCCCCCCAAACCTTCCTCCCCGTTCCAAAGCCGCCCAGCCGGACGCCTCAACCCGTAACCTCCACCCGGAGCTCAACGACCGCCACGACGCACGCGGCGCGGGGGGGAGAAGGGAGGAGGAAGCGGGAAGGGGGGAGCGGCATACGCGGCCGCACCGGGCCCTCAGCGCCATACGCGCCCCGCCGCCCGCAGGCGCCAACACGAGGGGGGGGGCCGCACGGCGCCGGGGCCTCGGGTCGCCCCTCCCCCACCCGTCGCCCCACCCCCACCGGTTTCTCCTCACGCGACGCCGCTCTAGGCCGCTACCCGCCGCCACGCGGCCTTACCCAAGCCGGGGATCTCGCCCTCGGTCTCCTCGGTGTGACAGGGGTCCATCTCGGCCGCGCCTTTCTGGACAGGGCCCAGAAGAAGATAAAAGCTTGACGGGGCGCTCGAGCGCTGCACAGACGGAGACAAAAGCTCAGCGAACGCCAAAAAGAGGCTTCGGCGAAGGCGGATCGCAACCTTCCGACCTCTTGTTCCCTATTCCCGCGGGGATGAAGCCCGATGGAACCGCCGGCCCTCCAAGGCCCGACCCGCCTGCTCGCTCCTGCGCAGCGCCGTTCCGCTCCTATAAATAGCCGCCGGCCGCGCTGCGCTGCGCGCTGACGTCACGCGCCGCCCGCCCCCACCCCTTCGCCGGCCGCCGGCCAATGGCAGAGCGACAAGTTAAAACCGACCAATCACGTCCCGCTCGCTGCAGGGGGGGGAGAAGATGGAGGAAAGGGGAAGAGAGGTGCGGGGATGATCTCTTAATGGCTCCCCTGGCGGTCGGGGGGCTGTGGCCGCTCGCGCGCTCCGGCCCCACGCTTCGCCTTACGGATCTGGGCAGTCGGGGGGCGCTCAGCCCCGCGCACCCGTTTCGCCGCCGCCGTCCGCCCGCAGACCTAAGATGGCGGCCGCTTTGTCCCCGCCGCCCGCCTCGCACCAACCAACCCCGCCCCGCGCCCTCACTCACGGCGCTGCGCGGCGCCGGGCGGGGAGCGGTGGCTCGGCGCACTGCGGTCGTCAGCGGTCCTGGCCCCGCCTCCCGCGCGACGGAGCTGGACGGGCAGAGCTGCCCCTCTCCTCCTCAGCGCCACTCCTGGCTGCAGCGGGGCGGCGCTCAGGGGACTGCAGGCGTTGTGAGGCGGGGACAGCCCTGAGGGGAGGGCAGGGCGAGGCGGAAAGGGCCGTGAGGAGCCCTCGTCGGGCCGGCCCTACTCCGTCGCGGACCTTTTTCTCCACGGCCCCTCGGCGGCACTCCTAGCCCGACCTGCTCCTTCTGTAGAGCGTTGATGCAAAGAGCTCTTAGCGAAAGTACTGTTAGAAAGAATGCGTCGCTTTGAATAGCTGCGAAGGAGCCAGAGGGATGGGACTGATACGGGCTGACCTTAGGACTGCGCAGCTGTGGCATCTCCTCGCAGCTTTCCTGACTGAGCGGCCAACGTGCAGTGAGCCCCTGCGCTGATCCCTACCGAAACGTTTTCATTTCTGACAGCCGTTTTTGTCCTCCTTTAATTAGTGTTAATAAACTTAGGCTGAGGCTCATTTACTAAGTGTCATTTTATTGCTCTGGCCTTTTTAGTCTCTGTTACAGCATCTGATTACTGGGGCTGGCTCTCTGCTGTACTCAATGCGATCCACAGCAGTGCGCAGCTTTGCAGTGGGCTGCACTGTCTGGTTTCTTGCACTCGGGTTTTCAGTGATAAATAAGGTCAGGTCTATTGAATGCTGTCTCGATCATATGCCTATTGAAGCCTGCTTTCTGACTTTCCTCTTTAGAGGACACTTCGGAAATGGCAGTCTTCCTGTGTTTACACTGGGAAGCAGTTCTGCTACACGCATACTCTCCTAGTGTTACAATAAAGGTCATGCGACTTCTTTGTAAATATGTAACTGCAAGAGCAGGCAAAACGCCTGCCTGGGCTGACACAGCCAACAAGGTGTTGTATGCAGCCACTACCAGGAGGAAGAATGTGGCAGTGAACAGCAGAAAGGCAGACATGCAGAGAAGCAAGCAAAGATCGAAATAGTTATCAGAAGAGTTATAATTAACCAACATATACGTAGTGTTTGAAAACTGAAAAGAATCGCCAACTGAAGGCAGCAGCCCTTTTCTTGTGTTGCCATATCTGAGATGTGCCTTTGCAAGTAAGGGGAGCCTCACAATATATGAGCACTTGCAAAGCATGAGAGAGGGGACAAAAATCTTGCTAGAAATTTTTGATGTAGGATTTTATTAGGTTTCTTGAAGCGATGAATGTGCAGACCTCTGGGTCTTGCTTCCACTATCTCTTGGAGGACTGCTTACCTGTTGTTGATTGTGTTTTTGTTGCTGTGTTGGTTTGTTTGTTCATTTGTTTTTTGCAGTCTGACACCTACACCTGCAACAGGCATGGTTGAGCTGTTGCATGTCAGTATGTCTTTCAGCAACTCAAGTTGCAGCTTCAGGTAATTGTTTTCCTCTAAAAGAGCTTTGTTCAGCTTCAGAATTTCACTGGCCTGTTCCTGCAAAAAGCATACCTGCAGGCTGGTGGAAACAGGAGCTGTTCTCGTTTTTCCACTTTCATTAACAGAAGGAAAATAAAGCTGTGTTCAAGTCTGCACAGGGAGATCAGCATGCTGAGTTTTGTAGTCCATCTGGTAGAAAATGGGCAAAAAAGGGGGGGCCTCTTGGGTAGAAACCGACTGGAGAAATTAATTGTTCAATATTAACACGGCCCTATGTGACATCCTCACTGAAGTTCATGGTGAATGGGGATGGACTGCTCTGATTCAGCCTGCAGAGAGATGCACAAGGCTGGGCAGAAATGTTAAGTATTAAGTTAGACCAAAGGACTAAAGTAAAGCTCTTCTTTGAAGCTTGCTACCTGCTCGGGACATTTCTGCTTGGAACTAGCCATACACTGTTGTTTGTTAGGTTTCTTAAGTTTCTTTCCTGAACAGCAAAACAGTAGAGGAACTCTACAGCTCTGCTTCAAGTGTTTTATAGGCATCTAAGCAAACGAAGATATATTGCATGTCTGGAAGTGGTGCAGATGCTGATCCCCAACCGAACTTTGGAGATACTACTGCAGTGCAAAAAGTAATCACCAATAATTCTGTTACTATTGACTGCCATATCACAGAAGAAAAAAAATACAAAAACAAAAACCAGCAATCAGAGTCTAAATACCTGCTCTGAAAGGATGACAGCACTTCATCCTGGTCCGAATGCTGTGTGGTCTGTACATTTCCCTCTTTCCTAGCTAGAAGTTTTCCATTTGTTCTACTGTAAGATTAATCCTTCAAGTCTCAGCCACAGCTCAGTCGTCTAGGCGTGTTGCGTGTTCCTTGTGTTTGCATATAAGCATGTATAATTCAGGATCTAACAGTTAATCTGCAAACCTGATTATCTCTCACCAAATGCTGCTAGCAGCTGACTTGCTGTATCATTTGAGGTCTGAAAATGGGAAATATATAGAAGTCCCATACTAGTAACAGTTAGTTTCTCCATGTGAGACTCAGAAGCCCCAGAGTTCGTTATAACCTTTCTTTCGTCCCTACCCATAGCACTAGACAGCCTCTAGCTGTGATAAATACAAGCTAAACAATACTATTAAATATGCATGCTATGTGTTCTACCATATTAGATAACATGGCCACATTCATGATCCTCTCTTTTTTTCAATTTATTGCTTTGCTAATCCACCCTCCAACTCCCTTTTGTTTTGGGCAAATCCAGAAGCTTTTTGGTTACACTTCACCTTTCCTTTCTTCCTTTTCACCCCTTCTGTCCTTATTCATTGCACTGAATGCAGTGCTCTGCAGCGGAGGCTGGGCAAGAGCTCATGTTTCTGTTTTCCTTATCAAGTTTACTGAAGAGTCAAGTCTGTCTGAAAACCAATTTGAGAATCTGCTACACTTTGCTGAAGACAGAGGCAGATACCAAGTCTTTCTCTGAAGCTGCTGTCCTGTTTGAATCTATCACCCTTGCCTTTATACCACCAGGTTATTCACAGCTTATGCTCAGACCATCCTTCATCTCTGGCAACGTTTTGCCTGTGTGATCGCATCCTCCTACAGCAAGAGCCCTCTCCCAGCACACCTCAGCTGTCTGCATGCTTTGCCTGACTGAACGTGGTGGGCATGAGTCAGCTGTGAACCAGGAGCCATCTGGCCATGCTGGGTGAGCTAAAAAGGCTGGTCTCTGGGAAGGCTGCTTTTGGGCTCAGGCAGAACATTTGCAGCTCTTTGGCACTTTGGCGTTGCACCTGCCAGGAAGGAGGTGGGCAAGCGTCCATGTGCATCCTCTGCAATTAGACTTGTCTTCACTTCTTTATTCCCTCCCAGAGGCAGAATGAGCTGTAAATCTGTAAATACTTTACAATGGGGGTGCCCCAGTCTGGTCCTGGGGGAGTGTGCTGCATTATCTATGTAGCTGGACAGATAACAATGCAGTTCTAGCTCACAGCCCAGCCCTTGCCAAACTCGTTATTCTTGGGAGCATCATGACAGACAAGGAGCAGCTTCCAGGGACACAGGCAGGGAGGGCTGCAGGCACTGAGGCAGGGGAGCCACGAGGAGCCCACTGCAGTCGATGAGCCATAGATCTGACCGTGACGTGGAGTCACGAGATGAAGCCTGTCTTAGCCCAGGAGCAGTGACCACCAGTGCTCACTGTTTCCATGTTTGCTGACCTGGTGACCCCCGCCTCCTGTCGCATGTGGTAACACTGCTCTGGCTGTGCAGGGTCACTCTGTTTTCTCCTGTTAAGTGACACAGTGCCCAAGTGATACAGCTGATGTACAGACCAGGAGTGCTCGGTGCATCTTCCTGAGTGCTGGCTCCGCTTTGCTCTTCCTACCTACTGTTGGTTTTAGAGCAACACTGCAGCATGTGTCCATGCTCTCCTTCAGAGGCTGCATTAGATCCTACCGACCTCATGTACACTACAGCTCTCACCTAACCAGGAAAAGATCAATTCTTTGTGCTGCCTGAGAAGAGTTATTTACTGGGATGTATAAAACTGGTGACGATTAGGCAAATTTTAACCTTTGCATGTGGATTTTCCAGGCCTACCTATCTTGACTGATAATACAAAATGATGGACAGCTTTGGTTTTGCTTGGGTTTTACCATGGTATCTAATCTAGGAATGTTCTTTCCCTGCAGGCAGTATTTGCCTGCCCTCCCCAGTCCGCAGGAACATCCACACCTCCCTGCCGCCCCTCTCTGCATCCGTGCACCAGCACTGCATCCACTGCATCCCCTCTCGCTCTGTCTCCACCAGCACCGTGCCAACCTCTTGGTTTCTGCCGGTGCAGTGCACTCCTCGATTTCCTCGGAGCAAAGCACTCCTTGCTCTGATGCAAACTGCTGCGGTCCCTGCAGCTCCTGCTCATAAAATGGGTCGTTATTCCTGTTGCACAACTTCCTTCCCTTTTCATTGCCCTCGAATGTCAACAAATAAAACCGAGATGAGCCGATAACAGCATCGGGGTGAAGGAAGGAGGGAAAGAGGAGGAAAAGGGAAGCTTCCCCGTGCCGCTGCCGAGCTTCCTCCATTGGCCGGTCTGCCGGGAGCCGGAGCTGTGGGAATAAAGACCCATTGAGGAGCTCGGCTGCAAATTAGCATCTGAATTCCGTCGCAGCTCGTTGTCAGATGGGCAGGAGTTGGGTGCTGGCCTTGGTCTCTCAGTACTGATATACAAAGGTGGCTTTAAGAGGTTCTCCTCCTCCTTTTTTTTTTTTTTTTTTTTTTTTTTTTTTCTGAAGGGAAAGAAAAGAGCTGTTTGAAATACGAAAGCTTCGTTTCCCTTTTTTCATTCTTCAGCTGTCTCCTTCCCCTCTACTTTTATCCTCTGCTTCATCCCCTTTCCCTCATCAGCCTGAGCTCTGTCTGGGTACTGTCACCCACTCTGACCTACTTCCCTCCCTCCCTTTGGCCCATGGATGTTGGTGCTATGGGAACCTTGGTGCCATGCCAGCCACAACACCAGGCCACCTGCTGCACCCTTTCCCCTTCCCATCTCAGCAGGGCTGCATGTGCAGCACCCCAAGGAGATACTCCCTCTGGTAACAAGTAGTTCTTCCTGCTGCCAGCTGCATGGCCTCCTCTGGCCCCAGGCACAGCATTTGGGTGCTGTGGCTGCATGTAGCCCTGTCACCAGACCTCTCTGTGCATGTATCCTGCACAGCTGTCACATGTTGGATAGGAAACAATGTGTGTGCACCCTTGATGTTTTCAAGACAACATGCTATGAACTTCTTCAATGGAGCATTGGAACTGGGCCTCAGTTTCTGCACGTGCACACGAATCCATGCGTGCACCCACATGGCCAATCCTGCTGGGGAGGCAGTGGCTTTGCTGGTGGGCAGAGCTCAGTGCCTCCACCTCCCCGCTGTGCACAGGGAAGTGCATAAGGGAGGCCTGGTTCTGAGCTTTTCTCAGTATAGAAGGATTCTCACTGCTTCTCCATGTTTCCTTAGTTCTTTGCTGAGCTCCCATTCATCCAGCTGCAAATTTCCCTCCAGGTACCCTGAGCTGAGCTGCCCTCCTGCTGGCAGCAGGAGAGGGAGCAAGAAGGTCCAGGAACCTGTAAGGCACTTGCAGGGGTTCTCAGCTCATTACTAAGACACGTCGGGGGGGTTTCTGTGGGGCTACAGGACTCCCTCCCACCGGTAACCTTAATAGCAGGGCTGTGTGAAATGGGTCACAGAAAGCTTTGTGCAGAAGACGCAGACTCCCAGAACCATCTAGCCTGAACCTTCGAGATCACCAATTCCCAGCACTAAGCCACCTCATTCAATGCACCATCACGTACTGCATTGCATTTACAATGACATCTATAACCTGCCTACCCCGCATGCCGCCCGGCCTCGCGAGCATAGGGGGAGCAGCGGGACGTTCTGCCCACCCGGGAGCGGCCGTCCCTGATCCCCCAGTTCCCTCGGCCTCCCCAGCCTCGTCCTCCCGCTCCCGGTCCCGCTCCCCCCCTGCCCCGCAGCCGCGTGCTACCGGCGCCCCCTGGTGCCCCCAGCGGGGCGAACAGAGGCTCCCTGGCGGTTGCGGGTGGGCGGTGGATCCCCGCACCCGCTCATGCCTCAGCTTTTGAACCTGATAAATCCCAAACATGGACGTGGAGCCATGGTCCGGATCGAAGTTTTTTTTTTTTTTTGTTTTGTTTTGTTTTGCTATCCTGGTGCAGGAGGAGCAGAGCGATGGCGGCATCCCTGGGAGAGGGGAGCAGCTCTCCTCCTGCTGCAAGCCCTGCCCGGGCTTGAGGGGGGGATTTCACATCCAGGGGGTTCCTGTAAGGTTGGAGCTGTGCTGGAAACTTTGCACAGATGAGTGCTGTTAGTTTGGTTTGGAACTGAATTGTTTGCACGAATCCAAGAGCCTGAAAGGGAAACAGACCGGGGCTCTGCTGGACAAAGCAATTAAACCACAGGGAAGGAAGTTAAGCAATTTGCAAAGTTCATAACTTCCCCAAAAAGTGCTTTGTGTTCTTCCAATGTAAGATATGCCTGTCACTGGGAAAGGAGGGAGCATGATGGGGTTTACAATCCTGTTAATCCAGCAGCACGCTGATGCAGCTGTTCTTGCTGAATTTGGTGAGAGGTTCCCGGTGCCGAGGGCAACAGAGCGCCTCTGCTGTTCCCTGAGCTGTGTACTGCCAGCCCACAGAACCAGCGTTTCCAGCCCTGTTGTCACAGGGGCTGAGCCCACCTGAAGAGTTCTGCTGGGCTGATAACCAGCTTTGCACCACTACTGTCTTCATCCCTGCAGGGAAACCAAACAGCCCTGCACCCCAAAAGAGAGGTTTTGCCCTATGCCAGATGCAGACCCATGAGGACATGCACAGCTCAGCAAGCTCAGTGTCCTTTTATTGGCAGCAGCTCCTGTGCATGTTGTGTGCCGCAGCACTGGTGCAGCACAGCCAGCAGTGTGCAGGGACCTGATCTGGGTCACCCCTTGTCTCTGCCCTGCCCCAGCCTGTGGATGCTTCCTCAGAAATTCTCTTCCTGGCTGTGCACCATGGGAGGCTGTGCTGACCCCACGGTGCCTGGGCTGGATGCAGGGGCTGAGAAGAGTTTACTTCTGTTTTCCAAAAATTCTCCTTGCTTTGGCCATCAGTCATACAGAGCAGCTAGGCATGGAGTGCTGGGCACAAACAACCTTCAGAAAGGCCTCTGTGGCTCTGCCAGCTCCACAGGTGTTGGAAGCACAGTGAGGTGGGCTTGTAGCTGGGGGCAGATATGAAGTGGTGATGCCAGTGACGGCCAGGAGCATCATGCTGCAAGCAGCCGGAGGACATTCAGACCCACATAGTGAGAGAGAAAGAAATGCAGGAGGCCCAGGGTTGCTGCTGCAACGAGCACCCAGAGAACGGCGGTGCTGAAGTAGATGGGGGTGAGCCTGGTGAGGGAGAGACCGAACATCACTGTGCTGCTGTGGGAATGCCCTGCTCCCACCAAGGGCTGAGAGGCAGCCCTGGCTCCAGCCCCACCCCATGGCCCTTGCCCATGCTGTGCCCAGCACTGGTTCACACAGCGGCCCCAGAACAGCTTGTGGAACTGAGCAAATTGCGACCCAACAGTCAGCACTGGCTGGAGGTGTTACCTGTCTGAGGATGATGCTCTGTATCCCGTAAAGTAGCAATAGCGGGAGTAAAGATAGAGCAGGCCCAGGGCTGCAGCCAGACCTGTGATTGAGAGATATTGAGAGCTCCAGAGGATTTATAGAGCTCCTAAATGGAGAGCAGGAGGGGAGGAATAGAGGCAGTGCCCACTGTCTCTGAACTCCTATCAGACAGTATTGCTGCCTAATTCATTCCTCAGAGGGTGAGCAGGACCTGAGGACAGAGGCAGCACTGCAGACCTGGCACCCAAGCAGCTGTGGGGCTGCTCTCACCTTGGTGGAAAAAGAGTCCAGCCTGCCACAGGAGTGCCACGAAAATGGGAAAATACTCTGAGGAGTTCACCCTAGAGGGAAAGAGAAAAGTTATAAACAAGGGAAAGGAGGAAGATCATGCAGGACTCTGACAGCAGAGGTGCTGAACTTGGGCAGTCCCTCTCTAAGCCCCACTCAAAGCTCTCTGAGCTCACGGAATCCCAGTACCGACCCTTCTATCCATTAACTGGACCCCAGGGGAGGTGGGCATCTCCAAAGTGCTGCAAGGCATCAGAGAAACTGAACAGCAAAGGAAGGGACGAGCAGTGCCACCAGACAGGAGGGCTGCAAAGCACGTCACGAGAGAAGTTTCTTACTGTGCTCGAAAGATCCGCTCAAATTCAGGTGGGCCTGAGATGTTGGGAGGAGAAACGCCAAACGTGCGCCTTGCATGGATCACCTGGAGGAAGAAGTAGGCTGCAGCGAAGGAGAGAAAAGTGGCATGGGTCAGTCATTGGGACTGGCCTGGTGGCCAGGAAGCTGCCAGGAGAGAAGGGGGAATGTCCTGCAGCTTCCTTCTGACCTCGCAGCCCCACATTCCAGGGAGAGCCGGGCACATTCAGACAAGGCAAAGGAATGTACCTGAGCAGTGGTGAAGCAAGCAGTATGCAGTCACATACAACCAGTGGTTATCTGGTTTCTTTCTTCCATACTCAACAAATCATCTACCATTTATACCAAATATTTCGGAGTTCAGCTGCACTTTGTTGCTGTTGTTGTTGTTGTTGTTTTTGAGATCTTTGTTTTTTTCCCCTTCTAAATTCTGATAGCCAAGCAGAGAGGGAACTGATGCCACAGATAAGCCACCCAGATGCTGAGGTCTATAGTCATGCAGTGTGGAGCCCTGGTTAAGGTTGAGATTTCCATGCAACCCACCTCATCCTGTACATTTTATGCTATGATCTACATCAACTGCAAATCTACTGCAAACCTGTGTTTCAAATAAGGAAATTCTATGTGTTTACAGAGAAGATCGACCAAGAGGTATCAAGACAAAAGAGGTGTGTTAGTTCTGGGGAGAACTTTAAGGAGGCTGGCTTGCCAGGCACTTTTTTGTTTTAGTGTTCAAAAACCACAGAAGATATCACTCACTGTATGCAGTAAATTGGCAGCATGGCAGCAGAAACAGAGCATGGAAGTGAAAGGAAATAATGGAGGTATGGCAGACCAACACAGGCAGTACCTGAGCATGGTTATATGATGGTCCCTACCTTGCTCCAGGACCCCAAGAACCGTCACGGCAGCCAGCAGATGAATCTGCTCCAACATAGCGACACTATAAAACCTGATTTCCCAAGCAGGATCTCCTCTGGCCAGGTCCAGTCCTTGCTGATGCGTTGGGTGGCGGTGCAGGCAGCACAGGCTTGCCCTAAGTGAACAGAAAAGTTCAGTATGCAGCACTACAAACTAGGACTGCAGCTTGCCCGCTACCTTGTGCAGAGTGGCAGATAAAGGTCTGGTGGAGAATTCCACTCCCACCCTCCCTTTTCCAGGAATACAATATGAGGAAGTGGGAAAGCCAGCAGAAACCTCAGAGGAGAGATAAGGGAGGAGAATGAGGGGATGGAGCTAGCCTAGCTAGCTCTTCCCTGGAGTAATGGGTCTAGCAAAAGCCAATGCACATCCCTCCTTTGGTGCAGCACAAGAAACTGCAGCCCTGCTTAGCTGCTCTGCACCGCTCATAGCACAACTCACCACCTTCGGGGGCATGCAGACCCTGTGCTCAAGTGTATGCATTGGCACAGAGCACAATTGCTGCACAGGTATGGCACCAAATAAAGCCCCACGTGAAAACCTACTGCAGACATAGGACAGGGTGTGAACAAGTGCAAAAGATACGGATCTGCTTTGCATAGACCTGGGGTGAGTCCTGTACAACAGTCAGACAGTGAGGGAGAGCTTTGAATCTCTTCCCTGTGCTGGCAAGGCTGAGAGCTGAGCACTTTTGCCTCTCTCTCTGTCCTCAGCCAAAACAACCCCTGTGATACACATCAGTGAGAGATTTGTGGGAGCGAAATCCAGCACAATCCATCAGGATGTAGCAACAACACACTGAGGGCATCACATGCGTGTGACCACAGCAGCACTCGCCGGTCCCTGCCCCGTGCTGGCACTGCTGCCCCTGGACCCCGACTTCGTGTCCTTCCTTTCCATCACTCGAAGAATTTGCCTTTGGCCCAGGGAGAGGTGAATGAGGTTTATGACAAAGCGCTCATTAATCTTCACTATCACAGAAAACAAAATCAGATGCAGCAGGAATTGCACTGTGTATCTGACATCCTTGATGGACTTTTCAAGGAACAATGGGCAGGCTCTGGCTGTGAACCTCACCAGTGAATAAAGGCACTCAGAGTAGTGACACTGATGTCCCAGCTTGTTTCTCAAAACATCAAACACCATTTTTCAAGCTTCAGCTGTAAGGCTGTTTTATATCAGAGCTGATCCACTTCCACTTCACCAACTGTTTAGGAGTATGAGGGAGGTGGTGGTTTGTTTTCTCAGCTCAGCTGTCAAAGAAATGAAGGACTTTTCCTGTGTCAGCTCAGAAAAGGCAGAGGTCTCAATGCACGGTGCAGTTTCCTTTTCCCTCATCTCCTGGCTGATTACAGCCTGCTAGCAAAAGAGAATACAAAGCACAACAACTGAACAAGATCTGTGCTCACACCTCAGCAGTGCAGCATGAGCTCAGTGCACATAGGAAGACTAGGCCAGCAGGTGTTTCAAAGGACCCTAAAAAGTGCTCCCATTCCCCAGATCATCACTAGTTGCAAAACACTTCTGATATCATCTGGTGTAGTCTAAATATAACAAGGTTAGTAAAAATATGAATGAATAAACAAGTGCAGGCATCTCTCCCTTCCTCCCTCCCATGTAACCACCATTTCTTCAGCTGCCTTTACCTCCTGCTGGCTACCACATTTTTCTATTTGCTGTTTGTGACCACGACAACTCTCCATATTTTCCGTCTTCACTCAGCAATAGGAGTGGGCGCTGGCACTCCCTGAAGGCATAAATGCCATCTGAGGGGACTGGCCCTGGTGCCCAGCATCCCACAGATCACAGCAGCCACATGTGTGGGTCCAGGCTGGGGCCAGCAGGTGGGTTCCCCTTGCCTCCACCACCATTCCACTAAGTGCTCACACCCAACCCAGCAGCTCTCTGGTCCCATGGCAGCTCAGCCCACACTCTTGCTTGGGCATGAGGCTCACGAGGCTGCGAGCAAAGGGCTTGGTGCCTGAAGGTGGCCGAGTGATCCACCACATCCCCAGGAATGAGAGGCAGGAGATGGGCTGGGATGTCTCTGCTGTCACCAGCCACACGCAATGACACTGGAAGAAGCGTATTGCAAAACCTCACCTTCCGAGGCTGGCACGGCAGAATTTCCTCCTAATTGATGACAATGCTGCAGTTGCAGGTCCAGGCTGGGTACAGATTTAAAGGGTTGGGAGCTAAAGGAACGCTGCCTGCTCCTCACTGCCGTGCCACTTGAATGTGGCACAATGCAGAATCACTGCACCTCCCACTGACTCATCGCAGGACGAATTGCTCTGTGCCCACGCTGCCAGGGCTTCTGCCATCACCTCCTGCAGCCGTTAATCCCTCCTACCTCCTGATTACCACTTCAGAGCAGTGCTGCAGGATGGTTCGTGATGCTTATCTGGATTAAAAGCAATTTTGGAGGAAAAAACAAGCAGCATAGCAAGCCCAGGGCAGCTTTCGGCAGCAGGGTGCTTTGCCATACCTGTTCCTCACTGGCAGCAGTGGGGCGAGGAGAAGCCAGCAGAGCCCAGTGATGTCAACACAGCAAGATTGCCCTGGAAATGCATTCCATAAAACGGCGACGGACCAAGAGCTCTGTTAGCAGAAAAGGAAACAATTTGCATCTGATCAACTCACCCTTCAGCTGTGAAGCACAACGGTTCCCTGACCGTCCAAAAATCACAGAAACACAGAAGTATTTTCTAATATAGTTGGCACTTGTGCTTCCTTTTGCTTCTACTTCTGCAGCTGCTGAGCGCTTCCAAACCCAAGATGGTTGAACTGCATGTGGGAACAGTCAGTGCCTTTTCAGCAGCCATGTGGAGAGCAGTTTTAGTTCAAAAGGATTAAAAGCCACATGTTAAAAAAAAAAAAAAGTTCTCAGTTCAAAAGTATTCAAAGCCCCACAGGAAAACAAACAAACAAAAACTCTACCCATAAAGAACAAAAGAGGTTTTTGATTCAAAATATGAGCCTCCAGGCCTTGGTGTGACCAGCTGGGCAACACTTAGACTGGGAGGGGTGCAAATAACCAGCAGCTTCTATCTGCAATCAGCATCTCTTGAGATGTCCTCAGAATTCTTGGGTTTTGAAGCTGCAAAAGGAAGTGCAGGATGAAAATATGTGGCATGAGGACAGAAATTCATCATTTTGTCCCTTGATAACACAGCACTGGCCGAGCTCAGCCAATCCCAACGATGGCTGCAATTTCTGCTCTGCAGATGTTACCAAGGCTCCCTGGAGGCTCAGATATCACTTTGATTTGTGCCCAACCCAGGCATTTTGCAACAACTTTTGAGGGCAAAATCAGTTTGCTATGGGATGCTTTAACCATGTCCCAGCAGTCCTAAAGACAGTGATCTTCACGTCAGGAGGGACAAAGCGCTTTGTCAGCAACAGGAGGAAGCTTCACTGTAAAGCCTTTGGGAAACTATGGAATGAGTATGTGATACTCATGTTGTCAGGGATCATTTGGAAAATATTTTTTTTAATAATTCTATTTTCCTAAAGACATTTGGTGACCATTATCTACATGAATATTACATCTGGCTGGAGGGCAAATCCATATATAAGCGGTGCTAAAGTGCTGCCCTTACTCAGCATCAAAAGGTACTGAGATGCACAAATGGCCAAAATCTGTTAAGAATGTGTAAACAGGAAAGTTCAACCCCTCTCTTGTCCAGCCCTGCCTCATAGTATTGTCACATGGAGCAGTTCTTTTGCCAGTTTTCCTATTCCTTTTTCAGCAGAATGTCAGAAAAAGCATTGGAGCAAAAAAGAACAACAGCAGAAGGGTGGCTGCGCTTCTGGCAGAGCGAACAAGAGCCAATCCTGGGAGCAATATTGCAGACAGCAGGGATGGGAAGGATTTTCTCCAGTGGTAGGACACACACTTATTATTACCCTATAGTGATGTGGAAAAAAAGTGGCAGGGCTCCCTTCAGGCCACATGGAATAGCTTCAAAGGCTGTAAGCAGGGTGGCTTGTTTGTTCTGAATTACAGGGCGAGGGAGCACAGTGCTCGCTGCCTGGTACGTGTGGGTCAGGGGGGTCAGTGAAGGGACTGAGGGGATGGACGGGGCCTGAGGGCAGCGGAGGTGGCTGTGGGAGACCTGGGACACGGAATGTGGCACGAGCAGGATGGGCAGCTGCTTCCTGCAGGAAAGGCACTGAAGGTAACAGCGCGGCACCTCCTGCGCCTGCTAGCAGGGGTCTGGGGAGCAGTCAGACATCACAAGGGTGAGGTGTGAGGGAATTAGTTTCTGGTTAGCAGCTGTGACTCCTTTGTTCAGATGTCTTTGCTCAATCAAGCCTGGCTGAAGCCAAGCTGACCTGAGTGCAGCGAGCAGCAGCGCACACCACGTGCCCAGGGCAGGCACTCAGTGCCAGCACCAGGCTGTCCACATCCCACCATAATATTGGCAGTGCCTTATGAGTCTTTCTGTCCCACTCTGGCCTTGCAAAGCAGGGCTGCAAGGACCAGCTCCAGCACTGCTCTTCCTTCCAGCGCTTGCTGCTCCCACACACCACATCATGCCCTCCAGCTCAGGGTGCTGCCTCACAGCGGCTGCATTTCAGGACAGAGGGGTGAAAGCCTGGGCTGTGAGTTAGGAAACTGTGCTCTTCCCAGAGGCATTTGAGAAGCAAATAATGAGCCTTTGGGCACCAAGAGATTTTGCAAAAGGTGAGGAGCTTCCCCTCAATGACCAGTCACACTCTTGGACAGGAACTGCTTTAAAAACAGCACGGTTTGTTTTTAGGGTGTTTGTAACAGAATAGAACAGCCAGAAACAGTGCAAAATACCAAACCTTCCTGCACACCCTCACCTCCAGCCATATGCAGGCTGGGTGGCAGTGGCGGTGTACTGCAGAGCTCTGCAGCTCTGCTTTCTGCCATAGGCTGCTGCCCACGCTGGGTTTGGTGGGCAGATCTGATTGCAAGAAAGAACCACCAGTGTCACTTCCCCTCTGCTAATGAACATCACTGTGCCACTCTAGGAAAAAATGTTTAATTTAAACTTGCTCTCTTTGCTATACAAATCCATCCCAAGACATCATAATTTCAACATATTGTTTAGGAAACAAACAGATGTCACACCTGTGATTTGTGCACACAGTGTCAACAAGCAGGATGGGCAGTATCAGCACACGGAATGCCACTGCACCACACCTAAGGAATCCCACTTCTCAGCAGCCACCTGCCTGCTGCACACAGCTCAGAACTGGGATGCTGCCCAGGAGCTTCGTGCTTTGTCCTGGTGATGGCCAGGACATGAAAAAAATTCCCAATGACAAAATTACACCCTGTGCATCCTCGCTATGTCTGCAAGATGGTATTCATCTCCCCTGTGATGGAAGCAGCTTTCATCTGGGTCCAGCTTGGCAAGGCAGGACCAGACACAGCACAAAGCAGCTCAGCTCTCTGTACTGGGAAGCTCTGGTGCTGCTCACCACAGCCTCCCATCACAATCCAGTCCTTTTCTTCAGTGCCAGCAGACATCCCAGACGTTGCTATGTCCCACGCAGTTTCAGAGATTACTTGTAACAGCTTGTTTGCTTTGTTCACTCTCTTGGTCTTCTCATCCCAAATACACCTCTTACATTTTTGGCTGTTGCTATAGTTCTGCAAATACCAAAGACTAACTTGCCTTGCTTTCTGAATAGGCAATAGATCTCCAGTATCTATGTGACAATTGAGCTCTTGGCAGCAGGAAGAACAGCACTAGAAAATAAAAAGAAAAGTAGATTATAGAAAAAAAGGGATTTAAGGGAGATCAATCCCACCTTCCTACAATTGCTCAAGAAGAGCAGTGGAGTTTCTCACACTCCATTTTAAAGACCTTTCACTAACCTACGTACCACTGAAAAAGAATTAACATCAATCCATACGCCTGCTCATCATTTGCTGATACAATCCCATAAGGATGTTGCCTGGGCAGAGGCAGCCAAACAGGACCTCAGTGCTCTTGGCATCCCCAAACTTGTAATTGTTTGCTGGGATGGCTGCCAGGCTTCCCAGAGCAGGGCTGCACTGAGAGCGACTGGAGGGCTTCTGGATGGTCACAGCCCCTCCGAGAGGGAATTCTGAGGGATGAATAACACTATGGGTGTCAACCAGACATCCTTACAGAGTTATCTTTAATTCAAGTGCCGTTTGGAAGTCTTGTTAGGAAACTGCTGGTCTGTAATAGTTAACTTCTGTCGAAGAAGAAGGGGCTGCTCAGGAACACACAGTGCTGTCTGTCGTGCAGGACTTACCAGGGTCTGTGCATAGGCTATGACTAAAACAAACAGAAAAATCTCCTCTCATTTCTAACAGGTTCAGTGCTTACAAAGGTTAACGCTGTCAGCTGGTATCTGCAGAATGGTCCTTTTTCTCCAGTGAAAATGAATTCAAACTCCTCCCAAAGTGCTCTCATGATCACCATTTCATCTACCAGTGATTCTTAACCCTAAATACAGAGATTCTTAACCACATGTATGCAGGTATACTAGATTTTTATTACATATTGCTTTTCACTGTACGTACATAGATTATTCAGATATGTGTACATTATAGATATATTTAAAACTCTGTGAAGATCTGTAAAGCAGGCACTGGTTCAGCAATAAAATAAGTAAGCCATTAGGAAGAAGCTCCATTTATCACAGGGATTTTGCTGAGCTTGCATCACATCTGCATCTTCATTCTTAAAGGAGGATCTGTTGGATTTTCTATGTGAGTGCCCCAAGACAACAAAAGCAGCTCTGCATGGCAGTGACTGATTCAAACTCTGTTCACAGATACTTGCCAAGCAAGAGAGCTGAGTAAAGCATATATTCAGAATAAATGCAAGGAATAAGCTGAAAATGCAAAAACAAAATAGTTGACATGCATGGATTGTTACAGTGCAGTTTCTAAGAAGGCAGCAAGGCAGGCAGGTCAGCGCCAGCCCACTCCTCCCAGCATGGAGCCCTCACCTGACTCCTTGTTGAGAAACCAAACCTCTGTACTTTTGAATCCGTCTGAGAACAGCACCGTTCCCTGAGCCATAGACGATATTTTTAATATAGCCTTATTGTAGGCTGTATTAAATCAGACATCACCTTTCATTCCTCCTCTTTCTTTAGTTTCCATCGAGCTGAGTAGCAGCACGCCCTCACAACTGGATCTTTTCCTTTCAGTTATAAGGCTCAGCCCATGATTAATTCAGCTCTCGGGTGATAAGATCTAACTCCAAGCTACCTGACCTGAGAAAGAGAGCAAAGGTAGTCACGTTTCACTCTTTCACTCGTGTAACCTTACCCATTCCCCTCCCTCCCGTGCCAAGCAGAACCTCCCGATCCCAGCCCACCATTTCCCTATCACCAACACACCCAACGAGGCCTTTCCTTCCCTGAGCTCTGTTTGCTCTGAGAACAGCCAGCTCTCTGAGTTCTCTGCCTCCACACCTCACGGGTTTTTTCTGCATGAGAAAGCTTCTGTGTCCTCCAAACCCACAGAGAATACCGCACTGTTTGTTTCAGTGCGCTCTGCTGCAGTGCTGCTCTTAAGCCTGTGACTCACCCTATTGCCAGGGATGCTGTTGGAACAGCCGTGCCGCATGTAGGATTGGTAACAATTTCCCCCTGCTGAAGGCAGGGCAGTGCCACCTGCAAGAGCAGGGCACGCTCATCTCGCCTCCCTCAAACCAGAAGAACCTGGGCCGTCTCCATGCTCTCACATCCATCTTTGCTCACCTGCTCTGCTTTACAAAACCCTTTTTCATTTTGGAAACGTCAATTCCTTGCACTGCCCATTCATCTCAGCAGCAGTGGTAGCAAGATCCAACCTCTGCAGTAAACCTGGGGAAGGGCTCTGCCGTTTCCTTGCCCAGAGTGGAGCCTTTCTGTAAGGAAAAATCCGGGAATTCCAGCGACGCTCCTCGTCAGTGCGAGGCGTCCGTGCTGCCGGAGGGCCGGGAGCCGCTCGGCTGATGGAGCGCTGGCTGCATTCCTGCCGCCAGGCGGCGCTGCGGAGCTGCGGAGGTCGGCAGCCCCGCGCCTGGTTCCGCCCTCGGGACGTCGAGGCGGGCGGCAGCGCCACAGAGCCGCGCTGTCATTTTCGTCCGTAAAAAAAAATGGTGTCTCAGCTGTTTTCTGAGTAATAACGGCATGGGAGAGGGAGCTGACACCATCGACAGGAGGCTGGGGCAGGTCCCAGTGCTCGAGCTGCACCAGCGCGGCCAGGGGTCTTCAGAGTGCCGTCCCATCTGCACCAGGAACTGCAGCTCGGAGAATGCGATGGAGCCCGCTGTTATTTTGGGGAGGTGCAAAGTCACTGTGCCTCGTTGCTGTGCTGTCACCATCCCTCCGGGCACGTGCTCTGCCTCGGATCGCAGGAGGACCAGCTGCTCCTTATTGCTCAGCAGGAAGTCCCTCCTGCACACTGCTGACTTACAGCTCCTGATGTTGGTTTCAAGGGTTCCAAGCTCACCTGTCCACCAGGCTGTGCACCAGAACATGTGGCTCCACAGCAGGCACAGCTGAACGAAATGCATGTCCCACCTCAGCCGCTGTGATTCACAGAGCAGCACTTCGGCACAAACCAACCTTCATCAGCAATTAAATCAAGCATTAGAGATTCCATTTCACAAGTTGTTCCAAGTGTACCTCCATGTGTGTGTTCCAGTAAAGGACAATCGCACCAATTCCACTGAAATCAAACCACCTGGGCTTTGCAGGAGGTGCCTGCTCCATCCAAGGAGGAAGAAGCGTGCGGTAATGCAGAGAGAAATGGGCTCAGCATGAAACCACACGTGGGATTTAAGTGAAAACAACAAGGAAGTTGACTGTATAAACACGAAGCTCAGATGCCAGTGAGAGCCACACCTGCGTTTCTGTCTGCTTTAAAAGGGTGGTGATATTTTTTTTGGTCAGACATGGACAGAGGCCCGCAGAAATGACAGAGATGTTCTCCTCCTGCAGCTCCAGCTGTGCTGTGAGCAGGAGAGCCAGTGGCCCTGTGGAGGTCACTGAGTTAAGTGCTGCTAATTCCCTGTTTGTTGACCTCAGCGAGACAGGATTAGGGAAGGCCAGCAGTGCGAGGTGGCCTTGTGCTGCCTGCATGGCATGCCAGGAATGTGGCTGTTGGAGCACTGGTTCTGCTTGGGTCTGAAGGGGCTGCATGGGGCTGCATGGGGCAGGGCTGGCCCTCAGTGCCCACTTCTTTGTGCAGAGCTGGAGGCTGAGGGCTGTCCTGGCCATGAGGCCTGGCTGAGTGGAAGAAGAATGGCTTCCTACCCCCTCACTTCCCCAGCTAATAAACACCATTTAACTGTTTTCTTATTTTCTGTGATGGCATTTTGGTTTCCTTTAACTGGGTTCAATCACTGTCAAACTGAAAGTGTTTGAGGTTGAGAATGGTAAATATTTTTGTTCTCCAATAAGCAAACAGCTTTGTTGGCAAAACAACCACTCCTAAATAAAACAAACAAACATCAGCCCTGAGCTGACAGCCCACCCTACAGCCAAACCCCTGGAGCTCCAACTCTGCTGCCCGTGCCCAGCCAAGCTCACAGAAAAAGGCTTCCAGTATGACACCCTCAGGGACAGCACAGACCTGGGGGCATCTGAAGGCAACCTTGGAGCAAATTACATCTGCTCTCTGAAAGAAGGGGTGGGAAAGGGCACACCCAGGACCAAACTGTGCTCAGCAGAGCAGTGCAGCGCCTACAGGAGCTACCAAACCTGTGCACAACCCAGGGGAACCATCAGTTCCATCAGAACCACGGTTGCTACCTATGTACAGACCAAACTTGCACCTGTTGTCTTGTCTTGCATAATTCTGACCCGTGGGTCCCAGGAGTTTTCTATAAAGTTCCCGTTGCACAGGCACTTCCTAGCTCCTGCACTTACTACCAGAGGAATTGTTTATCTTCTTCCACTTCATTCTGTGCCTCCCCATCTCCTCCCACCCATCTGCTAGAGCTCTGCTTCTGGCTCTCTGATGCATCTTCCTTTCACTACTTCCCCTCGCCTTGTTACAATTAATTCATAACATTTCTTACATTCACATCTATTACCTTTGAAAATGGCAGCCCTTTATTTTTAGCTTCAGACACCTGGGCCCCTCTGTTTTGACAAAGTCAATGTATCTTTCCCTGCCCCCTTCTCAGGAGCGGTCTCCAGAGGTGTGATTGTAAAGAAATGGTTTCCATCAAAGCATACCAGGGCACATGGACATTGCCCCATAGAGATGTGAGCTTGTCTTCCCCCCTGCAGTGCAAAGTTTGAAAGAGCAAAAGTCAGTGTTCTCCTGCTGCTCATCTGCCTGTACTGCCTGTTATCTGCAGTCCCACTGCTGTCCTGCAGCCCCAACCTGCCTGATTTTCCACTCACTTCTTACCAGCATTCCAGGGGAGAAAGAGATCTGAGCAGAGCTCCAGCTAATTCTTGAAATGCAAGGAGGGAATTAAGGAAGCAGAAATTCTTCAGAGATCAAGGTTAGAGGGAATTAAGATCAGAAAGTAAAAGCTGAAAGTGCAGCAGGTTTCTCTGTCTGGCAGCAGGACAGAAAATTTGCCCAAAGCTGTGGTCTGCCCATAAACAGAGAATTCTCCTCTTTCCTCTGAGTTCTATCTGTTCTGGATGAGAGACTTCAGTCTTTTCCAGCTTCACCATACTGCCCACTTTCTGCCTTTCAGAATTTACCTCTAAAATCAGAGAACAATACAGCGTGCTCTGCAAGCACTCATTGGTGGAAACTGGCAGATCTGCTTCGATGCCTGAACAAACATGAATGAAAACCATTGAAAACCAAAGAAAATCTCAACAATGCAATGTGGTATCTGCCATCCCTCTTTCTTCCACTGCCCTGCCCTGGCACATCATAGCCTGGCCTAAAAATACCACCTGCTTGGCTGCCAGAGCACTTAAACCTCTGTGCATGGTCCTTCTGTTCCCTTCAGTCCTCTTTTTTTCTTTTATCCCCTTTCTTTCTGGACCATCTATTTGTCTTATGTGGATTTTGTATTATTTTAACCAAAGTCAAACATCTCAAAAATCACAGAGCCGGAGATGGTTTTAGCAGCTTGTATTTCTTTTTAACTGACTCTTTTTTCCCCAGATGACAAAGCAGCACAGGCAGCAACGGGCTTCAGGGCTGCCTGCCTGTGCCATGATTCAGCAGTTGTAAAAGGAAGGAATGCCTGCTTTTTTGGGAGAGGGTGGAGGAGAGCAGGAAGGCATGTGTGACTGGCATGTGTGTGTGCATCGACTTCCCAGAGCTTGTGTGATTGGAGCACAGCGTTCTGCAATCCTGCAAGTTATGCTGGAGGTAATAACCTGTTTCAAAAGAGGGACTTGGAAAGCATTTGGAACAAAGCTGCATTTTGCCCAGAGTGGAGATGGAGCATGCTAAATTAAACGTCTTTGTTACCCTTTGGAGTATTTGTTTCTAATTTAAGACACTTGGTATCTCACCTGCTGCCTGTCATTTGAGGCTGTTTCCCTGCCTATCTCTGCATCCTGCATTTGGGCTGGGCACAGCTCAGCTGACAGCGAGGCATAGGAGCCAGCTTGTTGCCTTTGGGGAAAACTGCGACCACTGGATCCCAAACTTCAGCACAAGCAGGGATTTGCTGTTTTATTTCATTTATGCTGAGCCTTATTTCCGAGCACCGGGCCCTGCCTGCATTGTCCTAACGCAGTGGAATTTTCTCTGCGGGGAGACTTATGCTGCTGACTCGCTGCATGGACTCAAAACAGATTTGTTTGCAAAGAAAACCCCTCTGCCCCTGCTGAGGGGCAGCTCTGCTCATCACAGCACCCTGGGCCCCAAGCACTGCTCACGCTCAGCTCTTCCTTCCACCACCACCACAGGGACCGTTACTTCTGCATCCCCCACCCTCTTCGACTGGTTTGGCCGTACAGACGCCGAGTCCTTCACCTTTACACGACTACTTTGCTCATTTCAGAAACGTGGCATTGCTTAAAACTCCCAGCATTACGTAAGGCCTTGAAGCCCAGTTCCACCCTCAGCCCCTCGGCGCGCTGCATTCCCTGTCTTCCCTAAAACCCCAACTCGTAACTAAGAGATACCAGATGCACTTATTTTTTCTTAATAGGCTGAAAACGCTTTCCAACGGGTTAAAGAAACACAAGGGGCAATGAAGGTGAATGTGCTGTTTAATATAACAGCGTCCAGGCCCTCAGCAGGCTTCAACCGAGCCCCCAGCTGAACAAGCAGCTCCCGACGACCCACAGCGCAAAGCGAAGCGACCCCCGCCACAGGGCCGGGCCGGAGCCCCCAGCCGTGCCCCCACCAACGAGAAATCCGCTGCGTCCCCGCCCACGTTTCAACGGCCTCCCCTCGGCCAGCCAATCGCCGCGCACTTCCTGCAACCTCACCAACCAATAGAAGCGCTCCACGAAGGGCTGCGCCGTTGGGGCGTGTTTTGAGGCGGGAGAGGCTTAGAGCGGCGGCGACATCAGCCAATCGGAACGCCGTACAGGCAAAGGAGCGAACGGGCGGGAGCGCCGTTTGCCAATGGGAGATCATAAGAGAGGTGGGCCGGGGGGCGGGGCTGGCGCGCAGTAGATAGGCGGGCGGCGGCGGCGGTGGTGCTGGGCGACTGGACACGTGACGGAGGTGAGGGCCGGGGGCGGCGGGTGGGGGGCTGCGGCGCTGCCGGGGCTCGTGGTAAGCGCCCCTTCCTGCCCATACACTGCGCCGAGCGGCACCGTCTGGCTTCGGGGCGGCGCGGGGTTCGGCGGGGCGGCGGCGGCAGCGGCAGGGTGCCGGGCCTCGAGCGCGGGCCCGGCGGGCAGCGGGGCGGTCCTGGAGCCGCTGAGGGAGGGGTGATCGCGGCCGGGGGCTGCGGGGCCGCCCGGCTGCGTTCCGTGAGCCTAGCGGCTTCTGGTAGGTTCTGCGGCCTCTGGGCGGGCGGCGCGGCGCGGCCCGTGAGGGGCCGGGCGGAA